ACTAGCGGCTACTGAAAACCAGTGTGAGCGCCTGGCCGACGACCATTTAGCTGGAACCCCAAAATTGCGACAAACATGTTCATAGTGCCGTTCGCCCGGAAACGACGTGCACCATCAATGCAACACATAGTCGTTCATTACGATGGCCTTCTCAATCGCCATCGTTTTCTTCATCGCCCTGGTTACCAATTACGTCACCGCCCAGTCTCTCTTCCGACCGTCATCACCGCTGGTTGCACATCCCAGCACGTGGTCGCTACTAACCCGCCTAATAGACCGAGATTCTCATCTCACCGTGAGGAACTCGGGCTCACACACAAAGCGAATTACGGGCAAAGGTATCCAGCTGGCAACGGTCATGGCACGCATCTGTTACCAGGCGCACTGCCAGCTCACCACAAGCCAACTGGGTCTCACGTGGTCACCAGAGGCTGCTCTACGAGCTGACCCCGTAACATCACCAACGGGGCCAGCGCGGGAATTGTGACACTGTGCAACTACATGCTGCCGGCCACGAAGCCGCAAGCAACGGGATCCCAGCTCTTTGAAAACGCGATGCCCAGGACATCGGGACAACTGCGGATAGAGAACTGGACAGGCTACCAGAGGCTTCTGGGGAAAAGTGTAAGCGCCCGGGCGACATCCATTTCGCTTGGAAACCCGAAATTGCGACAAGCAGGTTCATAGCATCCTTTCCCTGGAATCCACTGTAAGACCAATATGACAAACGATTGTGCTGCGTTACAATGGCCATCGCCATCGTTACCAACGTCGTCATAAAACAATCCCCACCGCTGCCTGAACATTCAAGCTCAAAATCGCCACCAACCGTGACAGAATCGCCTGGCAGACCGAGATTCTCAGCCCGCGCCAAGACTCAGCCGATCACTTACGTACGCGTATCAAACTGGCAGCGGCCATGCCACGAATCACGAATGCATAGTGGAGCGGCAATTGCATGGGACATCGGTTACCGTGCCAGCTCACAATCCGCCAACTGGGCCTCACGTGGTCATCACAAGCTGGCCTGCGACCTGACCATGCAGCATCACCCACGGGGCCCGCGCGGCTGTTGCGTGGCTGTGCAATCCCACTAGAGACTAGAGACAACCATCTGGAGATACCGATGCTGCCGGCTGCAATCAACGGTATCCAAACTCTTCAAAAACACGCTGCGTTCGAAAAAGATGCAAATGCTAATGAAAAACTGGACAGACCACTGAGAAGCACCGTGAGCGCACGGTGGGCGCCCAATCAAGTGGAATCCTGGGCTTGCCACAAACATCTCCATTGCGCCCTTCCCTCGAGAACCCGCGCTGAGACCACTGCGACGAGTGGTCGTGCATTACCGTGGCCATCACCTCACCATCACCATTCAACCAGCCCCGTGGGCGTACGTGGCTTAGGCAGCCGACTCTTCCACCCCCGTCTTCGGGGCTGCCCCCCCCCCCCCCCCACGCACCCTACCTTTGGTCTGGAGCTGGGGCTGCCCGAGGCGTCAGGGGGTCCGTCTGGGCACAAGGTGACTCCTGCCCCGTCTGCCCGCAGATGGCCTCCAAGATGGCCAAGTCGGATCAGCGCTGTGTCCAGAATGCCTCCAACAGGCCATGATGCCCACAAGACGGCCCCAAGGGGGTACAAAACTGCCTTAGGAACCTAACTTAGGCATAATCCCACGTGGCTACCAAACACGTAGGTATTTCAATGAATCTTGCGTTGCCACCTTTTCGCTTCTGATGGTCTTCTTGGGCCTCGAGATGGCACCAAGATGGCCTGAACAAAGCATCAACGCGGGCCCAGAAGGGCTCCATGACGGGCCCAACGCTCCAAGGATCACCTCAGGAGCGCCCACACGGAGCACCCAGGGGCGATCATTCGGCCGCCGACAGGACGACGCTAATTTGGGACCTCCTCCTCCTTGCTCATCGATTGTATCATGGATCGGTCCACGTGGTCCCCCAAGACAATCTAAATAGGGGGCCGAATGCGTCCAGAACGCGCCCCATCAAATCCCCAACATAGCTCCAAGAAACGACGGCCTTATCGTTGACACCCGGCTTCTTCGCGCCTCTCACCTGTCACGAGCAACTAAGGAGTCAACCGTAAGGACCATCGAGGCACCCCTTCCAGGAGGCCGCTCAGCTTACCGAAGAAGACGCGAATGTAGAATGTGGACACCCTGGCAATGCGAGTGTATGTGGGTCCCTGCGCTTCCGAGATTGAGGTAACTGGCCTTGGATTCGGATCTGGATGGGCTGGAAGGGATACGCGAAGGGTCAAGAAACCCACCAGTCCCCTGGACGTACGTGGTCTCAGGAACTTCCACTGCCAACCCCCTTCTCAATTCCCCTTCGGGGAAGGGCTTAACATTGCTCCTTATGAGGAGCACCTTCTCCTCCACACGGCCGGCCACCGGACAGGAACAATGATCCCCCACACAATGCATTCCAAAAAAATCCGCCACATGATCCCCCAGGATGATCCCCCACACAATCCCCCACACGCGTGACGACAACATCCAGATCATCATTTGTTTGAACAAGGTCGATGGGGTGTCATCATATCTGTCCTCTGCACGCCTCCCTTTCGCCCACTATCCGAAACAAAAGATACCCGATGCGTCGAAATATTCAATCGCCATCATTATCAATGACGTCATCACCTTCCTGTTATTTGGGCGATCGTCCTGGCTGCCTGCACATCCCAAGAACGCGGTCGCCTCAAGAATTCTCACGATCGCTCCACCAACTGCTATTCGCAACCAACGCGGAAAAGAATTCGTGCCCGCACGCCAACCACTCCAAAACAACAGGACAATAGGGAAATGAGACATTCCGTGAAAGCGGAAGTGGCCATGGATGGAACAAATGTCAAGGACCGAAACAAACTCGAAACCACTGGGATGAGGTCGCCAGTGCTGGAAAAAACTGGAGGGACACTCACAAAGGCTGGAAGGAGCGTAAGGTCTGGCCCAAATCAAGTTTCGCAACTTCCCTGGACGTACATGTATCTCATTGACAACAACCGCGCTCCGAATCACGACGCCTTTTCCGGCGCGACGGTTGCATAGGTAGCAATGGCTCTGCAAGCGCACGACCAACCAACTTGGCCCCGCGTGCTCACCGCAGGCCGGCCTACAAACTGACATCAACGCCATTGCCCTCCCATGCAGTCAATCATCATCAGAGCTGCCCGAGCATTTCAACACGTAGTGGTCATCAATCCTGTAAAAATGGCCCACGAAACCGAGATCCACAGCCCGCGCCGAGAAGAACTCGGGACCACGCGTCAAACGAGATTCAGGATTACGCATCCCATTGGCAACGGTATGCAAGTAACGAAATAACTGCGGCCGGGCAAAGGCATGGGCATCTTTGACCAACTCAACCCCACTAGGTGGTACCAAATGCTGGTAGATGAACTGCCCCCGTAGCATCACACTTGAAACTGGCGCAAAACATGTGGCTGTACATTCCCATGAAGGACATTTATCTGACCATCGATGTGCTGCCTGCCATGAAGTTGCAAGAAGCGCATCCCAAATATTTGAACGCACGCTGCCCAGCAAGTCGGGGCAACTCCTGATAAGGAGCTGGGCAGACCACCGAGAAGAACTGTGAGTCCGTGGGCGGCGACAAATCACCCCGTAATCCGAAACAACGACAAGCCTTTTTCATTGCTTACTTCAGCGGACAGTATGCGGTGAGACCCGCACACCAGGTGGATGCGTGCATTAGTCACCTGTGGCTTCAGAGATTCGTGGGCAGAGGATGCACCGCAGGAGTCCCCAACGCATTTGGTGGCGCGGCCGAGTGAAGGCAGAAGGGCCCTCCCCTGGTCAAAAGCCCCCATGAATTTCTACGTGCATTGATCCGCCACTGCGCTGCCAGACACCAGGTGGAGCGTCCTCGGGCCCTCTTACGGGAAGAATCATCCATTGAGCGAAATGAACCCCCTCTGGGAGGCCCAGAGGCCTGAATCTCCGACTGCTTGAACCGGCCCGCGTGATTGTTGGGATGGGTTGCGCGCATTCCCTAAGAGGCTTTCGAGCGCCAAGGAGGGCCCCGAGAGGGTCCCGATACGGTCCAAGAGAATGCCGAGGCGGCCCAACACCGCTCCAATATGCCCAAGACGGGCTCAAGACGGCACGCGAGGCTCCCAGGACGCCTGGATGAATTTAGCGTTCTGCTTGTTCTGGGATCCCGAACGCCCAAAACAGCCGAGATGCCCGCACGATCGCCCCAAGACGCCCCTCAAAGGCCCTGGCCCTCAAGAGGGCCTAAGAAGGCCCAAAGGCGTCCCATGAGGCCCCCCAACAGAGCCGAAGAGCCCCCTCGTGCTCACTCGTGCCCCCTCCCTCGATCACCTCCTACGCGTCAAGGTGGGGGGGCTCCTCGGAGAACTCGAACGAAACGACCGATGATATGGCATCGCTGCCTCTCGCCCGCCGCGACTGCTGCGGGCGATAAGCGCACGCCGTTCTCGGGCCAAAACGCCTTCGCTGTCGGCAGGCATGTCAGCTGCGAAACTGGGCAAAACGAATCCTATATTCCCGCGTTCGCGCTCATATTGTTTTCTTTGGCTAAGCGCGCCCGCGAGCCGACGCTGGCTCAGTTCAACAAAACGCAGGGCAGATGTAGAAATATGGAGGCGCCGCTCGCGTGACCTGAGTGGTTGGGTTGCTATGCTGGCCTATCCCTTAGAAGATCGCCCGGCCGTCGACCGGCTCAATAGCTCCCGCTTCTGCCTCTCGCTGCGGATCGCCTTCACCTCCGCGCGGATCTCCTCCGTAGCGCGTCTCGGTCCACGAGCAGCGTGTCGCAGAGGCGGCAACGCACCTCCCCCTTGTACTGGTCGGTGCAAACCGCAGTCAACTGGCCCGCTGGATCTACAGACTCATTCAGGGCAAGGCCACGCGCACTCCGTGACTTGCTTGTTTGCCTTCCTCGCTGCCCGTGCCCTTCGGGACCTCCTCCGCGTCGCAACTCGCTCGACGGCGCCTGCTGCGCCAAGCGGCCGCCAGCTGGCGCGTCTCGAGGATGTCGCCCTCCACCGCGTCGCCGAGGTCGTGCTCCACCTTCTTGTGGGACGCGCGCTTCAAGCGCTCGTGTAGCGCGCGAGCTTGGTCCATGGGCACTCCTGTCGTCTCCTTTCTGGATGTCGGTCCTCCTGGCTGCTCAGTCTCACGTGGGACCTCGACCCGCTCGCCGCTGTCGTCGGGGATGGGGGCGCTGCGGTTCGCCTTCTTGCGGGGTCCTCAGCTGACGCTCGCGCTGGTCCACGACCACCCAGCGCGCCGCGCGCGCCGCCAGCGTTGCACCAGCACCGGCGGCGCCTCCTCCAATCTCCTCGGTATGGGCACCTGCGGCGCCCATCATGTAGATCTCTGTCATGCCGCCCAGGTCCGCAGCACCGTCTGGATCTGCACTCTCGCCCCACTCCACAAGCACACCCTCGTCCGAAATGACATTCATGCCCTCGCGGTGCTCAATGTCCTCAGTCATGTCCGTCTTCTTCAGGAAGTGCTTCTCCGTGAAGTCCTTCTCATAGCGCTCGAAAGCCTCCATGGTCGGCGCGTAGATCGTCGGCAACTTGCGCGCGTGGGTCGGTTACCTCCGACGCTTCGCCCCCTGGTCCAGCCACGACCAGTCGACCATGTCCTCGTGCTTCTCGTAGTGGATGTCGCCCTCGCTCTGGCCCAGCATCACCCGGCAGCGGAGATAGTGTATATGGGGCAGGTCGAGCCACATGCGCGTTGCACATCAGGTCCGCAATACATTCCTCAAAGTACGCGCAGCCTGCTCGCACGAAAGGCTGGTCAGCAGGTCGACGGCGACGGGGGCACTTCGAACGGTAGCGCCCTGCGACCCTCCAACTCCATTCGTTGCTTGGGGATGATCTGCTCCGCCATGGGACCCCCCGTCAAACGGTGCTCGCCCGTCCGGAGAACCTACCTCATGTAGTCACCAGCGCGGGCGTCCTTCTTGGTAAGACAATCGGCGAATATCTGCTTACTGTTCACCCACTTGCTCACCACGTTGTTGAACTCAATGTCATTTCTGAGCGACCCTATGTCGATCAGCAACCGCTTCTCGGGCGGAACCGACCCTCGCTTCTGGAGAAAGTCATAAACCGGCATGCAGTCCGTGACTTCCACCATCTTAATCGCCTTGACGTCGTCCATGTAGGTCCGGTAGCTCAGCCCGTTGTGCAACTCCACCAAGAACTGCTGCAACATGCCGCCGCACTCGGCCGCTTCCAGAACAACCGTCGTCTCGGCCGCCAGGGTACTTCGAACCAACCGCTTGATGCGGTATGATCGCCACAGCATAGGGGTGACCTTGGCAGCCCTCCCTATTAGGAAATGATCGTCAGTGTTGTCCGCAAGCAAAATGACCAGACCCGCCTGGGTGGCGGTCTGTCTTGTCCACGCTGCCGTGGATCGAGTCACCCACTGCCACCGCAATCACGTTGTCCATGTCAGACTTCTGGATAGTGATGTCCACGTGATCGGTATTGGCGTCGCTCGCGAGCTTGTTGTAGTCTAGCATGTCTTGCACCTTCAGGTGGCTATCATGGGCCCTCGCCTGGCTTTCCACCACCTGGAACGCCGAGTCCATCCGCGTAGAACGGATCAGCCAATGGATCTGGCCAGTGCCGCTGTGGCGCATCGCCCTTTCTCTGCCGCGGCCTTCGCCTCCTGTGTCTTTCGACGCTCGGCCGAGATGGAAATCTTCTCGACGCTCTCCGCGCGGTCCTTCTGGCTGCGCGTGATCGCGCCGTTGTCGTTCTGCGTGAGGGAACGCCCGCAGTGGTGGAAGCCCACCTTCGCCGTCTGCCACTTACCGCAGCAGTGCGCCCTCCTCAGCTCGGCCGCCTGATGCGCGGAGAACTCGGGCGACCCCGCGACGAGATCATCGTCGACGTGCGCCCCGATCAGACCAATCAGCCCCCCCCTCTCATCGTGGAAAATGAAGAGGGCCGGGCGCAGCTTGGATTTCGAAGCCCTGGGAAGCGATGGGATGGCGTCGCGATGCTCCTCGTGCCACAGCAGAGGCGCATCGTTCAGCTCATATATGCCCTTCTTCGCATTTAGGATGGCCCCACCCGGGATGAGCGGCCATCCCAGCTTAAGCACCGCAGGGGTGCTTCCATTGGGCACACGAAAGTACACGCGCCTGGAGCTGATGAGGACCTCCCATTCAGAGATGCCGAATCGACGTCGCCCTGCTCGAGGCCCCAACCTGATTGGCCGGCAGCTTCTTGGAAGATACCCGCCGCGGTCGCAACCGTGAGCGTCGGCGCGTTCGTCTGCAATTCGCCCGCGAGCAGCCGCCTGTCCTTGTGACCGGGGACGATGTTCCGGGACTTCGCCTTCAACCGGTGCTGCTCGCACGAGAGGCGGCCCCTCGTCGGCTCATTCATTGTCGGTGCGGGCGCGCCTCATGGGTAAAATACCCGCTGTATCAGCGCCAACAAGCCCTTCCTCACTCGGCCACTCCACTGCGTCGCACTGAATCCATTTGCGCCACTCCACAAGGTCGCTCGCGTCGAAGGCTTCCATCCATGCTCGCGGGAGGCTGCGTAGCTCCCGACCTTTCGTAGAAGCGACCTGCTTCTTCACGGCGCCGGTCCTCCTCGCCAGAAATGCGTCCCTCGAGCGGTTCTTCAACTTCAGGAAGAGAGCATCGTCGACCGTCTCGTCTTCGGTTTTTCGGGAGTCGATTCTGCTCGAGAGCTTCGCGACGCACTCTGTGTCGCTCACGATCTGCCTCGAAATCGTTGGGGAGAGATCGCCCGTGGAAGGAGCTATCGAAGCCAGATTGTGGCGCAGGTTCTGGCCGTCCACGAAGTGCCTGGCGCAGCAGCCGCGATCCAGGTCCGTGGCGCGCCCCTGCCCAGCTGCATCAGGTACAGGTGGGTCGTCAGATGTATCGCCTGGCATGCCATGTCCATCTCCAGGTCGATCTTCAGCTTCCACATCTTGCATGTCGCGTCCATCTCCAAGCAGTGGCAGCACTTCAGGTAGCACTCCAGGTTCAGGTGCATCATGCTTCTCAGGAGGCTTCTCACGCTTAGCAGTATCTGCAAACCTCCTCGGGGGAGGCGGTGGAGCCTCCTCTGCGCGTGGCGTCTTGGCCACCTGCATGTCGCCCGCGGCGTCCTCGCCGTCCGAGTCGCTGTCGTCCTTCTTGCGACGCCTGGTAGGCTGTCCGCCGCCCCCATCGGGCCTAGGCCCGCACTCGTTCACGAAGCCCTTCTGGAGGGTAGGTCCTCTACGCCATGGCGACAGCTGCCTGACGAGGTCCTCGTTCTCCACCATCTCTGCCTCGCCGCGAGGGGCATGCCGCGCCTGCTCGGGCGTCGCGAGCACCGGCGCCCCACCACAGCTGAGGCGCAACCTCGCGTGACCCTCAGCCGCCAGCACGATGGCCGGGTCGCGCCGCCCGTGCTCGCCCTGGAACCGCTTCGACTTCACGTGCTTCACCTTGTCACCTCACGCCAGTGGAACGCCAACTGGCCCGGCGCGAACGGCCCGCGCGGCGGGCGAACTCGACCAGCAGCGGCCCTCCTCACGGCGTCGTCGCCGTCCAGCTCGAAGAACGCCGGGTTCGCCGCAGCGGGGATCTGCTCGGCCCTTCCGGGGCCATCCTGAAGAGGGCTGCGCTCTGCGCTGCCAGCTGCCTCTGGTCGCCCTCCATCGCCTCGATCAGCGAGGCCGGGATGTTGGGCGACCGCCCCAGCACGTACTGGTAGGTCGCGAACCCAGAGGATCCTTTTCTCAAAAAAAACGAGAAACACATAGAAACCAGAAACATTCTCATTTTGACAACAAAAAACAAGAAACCAGAAATACTATTGATGTCCGATATAATGTCAAGAAAAAACACATTCTGATGTACTTACACTCGTGCATTTCATAAGTTCACATACACAATATGCACACACATACAGCCACGAATAGAATTTACACGCCTGGTTATCACGCTGACGTGCGTGAGCGTAACATATATACATATATATATATATATGTATGATATGAAGCGTTTGTTCATGACTTTGGTTCCCCATTGGTGCGCGGAGTCGAGGTGACTTACGTCAAAAATTTGGACCACCCCTCCCTACCCCCTTCTGTTCTTTCAATGTTCTCGCTCCCCCTTTCGGGCCCCAGCTCGGTTAGCGCCGCCAACGTCCAGGCATCAGGGGGCGGCCAACCCGCTGGCCTCGAGGCTCAAGTACCCGCTGGCCTCGAGGTGCACGCCCACGATCGGCCGCAATGGCAGAGGTCGAAGGGATGGAATCGACGAAAGGGGGTGGAAAAGAGAGAAGTAAGTTTCGGGTAGGTTTCGGGAGGTTTCAAAACACATATCAGTTTTTTCCCTTCGTGTGGCCTGCTCGCATCGTCAGGGGGTCGGGCACGAAAAATCTAAGATTCCAGCCCCTTCCGAAGGTAGCCGACAGCTGGACCGTTTGCGACTCATTTACATTCAGAGATATGGGCAGCACGTTGAGCGAGCACGGAGTCGAAGTGATTAGCAGTGACGAGTCCGAGGCTGAGGGGAATATCCCTGCGGAAAAGATATGTATATATGCATCGAGGGGGGATCGAGGGGGGGCAACGGGAGCGGCCGCCCCCATGAAGGCACCGACTGTGGCCGCTACTACCGAGGAGCTCGATGCGGCGCTGCCCGAGCAGGCGCGGCGGGAGTACGAGACGCGGCGGGAGGCCGACACGCGGCGGGAGGCCGAGACGTTGCGCTACGGGGACAGCGCGGCGGCAGCGGGCGGCGAGAGCGGCATCTTCGACCCCAGGTTCCCCGACAACCAGGAACCACCTTTTTCTTGCTGCCTCGTATTCCTCATCCTCGGCCGCCTCAGCCTTTCAGTCCAGCTAGTGTCACAAGTATCGTTGTTATCCTCGAGGGGTCCTCCTCCTCCTCCTCCTCCTCCTCCTCCTCCTGCTCTTCCTGCTCTTCTGTCCTCCGGACTTACGACGTCGGAATCGCGAGGGCAATTGCCCACGGTGAACTTTGCATAGGTCAGGTTGTGTCTTCTAGATGTTCTCATCGCCCTCCCGTGCCCTCCCGCCCTCTTCAACCGACCAGACATAGTGATGCCTTCTCCTGCTGGCCCCGACCCTCGACGCCCGAATCATTACTACCCATCTTTCCGTAACCATTTTGGCTCAAGGAGTTGTGCATTTTAACAACTTCGCTTGCACCAATGGTGACGGAGAGAACATTGACGGCCGCCATCAGAAAGTACGCCACGAGAAACAATTTCTTCAAATACGACGCCGACTCTGGAGTGCAGCGTGATGCCATCGAGAAGTACAAGGATCTCCTCAAAGATATCGGCGAGGTGCCGAGGGAAAACGTCGCACCAACATTGGGAAATCACTGACGATAATGAGGAGGACGGGTGGAGGGGTGGGAAACGAACGAGGAGAAGACGAGGGGATGGACAACCGAAGGTGACGTAGAGGCTTCGATCACATGTAGGGCAGGCCAGAGAAAAATCGGAGGAGGAGGAGGAGGAAGATGGATTGAGAGTTGTAGAGTATACCATGGGGGTGCGACGTTCTCTCCGATAGGTTGAGCCCACCCTCCACATCAAGAGAAAGACGTGGATTGCGTCTCTCAGCGCGCTTGCCGACGCCACCAATTCGAAGCTGACGTTCGAGAATGCTAGGGAGCATCAGGATTGGGTCAAAGAGATGACAGCCAGATTCTCGGCGGCGGTCAAGCATTGCAAGAGCTACACGACGAAGATGGCGAGAGACGAGGCCCCCAAGTGGTACGTGGCGCTCGGCATCGGGACGCCTCCGACGGGAGCAACAGCTAGAAAGAGACCTGGTGGGCGCGATGGCCACGAGTCGGATGCCGACGAGGACGAGGAAGACGAGGGGGAGGAGGAGGAGGAGAACGAGCCCGATGAGGCGGAGGACACAGATGCCGAGGAAGCGGAGGGCGATACCAACGGCCACGGCAAGCGCAAGAGCATGGCGAAACCAGCTGCGTCTGAGGCGCCGCTGGGGTCGGCCAGCAGCGGTGGAGCAGCCGAGGAGAAGTCCGAGTACATCTACCAGTGGGATCACCACATGGAGCTGGCCTATCGTACAAAAGCGTCGGCCAAGCGCAGCGACCATCCAGAATGGGCAACCAAGATGGTTGAGCCAGAGTCGGCCAAGCTGACAGATCCGATGAACGCCGTCTTTAAAGATGGCACGGTACGACCTATACCGCAGATAACGGTTGCCAGTTGGCGCAACGCGCAGCCAGCTGGAGGCGCAGGTGGCAGTGGCAGTGCACCTCGAGCTGATGATGCTGCTACCAAGCCCAAGGCCAAGGCCAAGGCTAAGAGTGGCAACACCAAACGAGAGATGTTCACGGGCCAAGACACGTCAGGCAATAATGTATGGGTCGATCTGAGGACCGACAAGCCGAGGGGTAAGCCAGTCGACCGCCTGTGCCTGGTAAAGTGGGACGGTGGGATAACGCCCCAGTTGGTGCAGGTGAACGTCAAAGTGTTCGAGGCCGCCGACTGCCAGGAGGAGTCGCAGATGGAGGACCAGGCAGTGGACTGGTGCACGGATCTAGCGAAGCGGTTCTGCGCTGGGGAGATCGACAAGGTCAAGATGGGGAATCTCAAGAAAGACCTGCTCCAAGTCAAGGCGGACGCGCCGTGGGTGGCGAAGATGAGGCGGCCCGCGGCGGCTGCGCCTGCACAGTCCGACCCCCCTGCCTCTAGCTTGAAGCGGCGCCCAGCTGGGGCGACGCCCGACGCAGAGCCCACGCCTAAATCGCCCAAGGTGGCGACGCCGCCAAGGACACCGACCAAGCGCGGCAGTGCAGCTTCTAGCACGCACGTGCCGATCCCACCGCCGCCCATCGGTAGTGATTCAGACTAGGGCGTGCCACAGGAAAAAAACATCGAGCCAACCAAGGGGGATGTGTAGGGGCGGGGAGAAAAACTCAACGTGTCAGGTAAAACACGAGAAGGAGGGAGGACGGGGCCCGTGCATGGAGAAGGGGGGATTGAAGGTGCCACATAAGCGGGTAGCAGGAAGAGAAGGAGTAGTAATTGTAGTCGTAGTTGTTGCGGTAAGCGGAGTGGTAGTAGTAGTAGTAGTAGTAGTAGTAGTAGTAGTAGTAGTAGTAGTAGTAGTAGCAGTAGTAGTAGCAGTAGCAGTAGTAGTAGTAGTAGCAGTAGTAGTAGTAGTAGTAGTAGTAGTAGTAGTAGTAGTAGTAGTAGTAGTAATAGTAGTAGCAATAAGAACAATATAACAATAACAATAATCGTACTAGTACGTGTAGTTGTAATTGCAGGAAGAAGAGTACTCTGGCCCGCAAATTGCAAAGAGTGGAGCCCTCATACTCTCACACGTGCACCCTCGTCACCGACCTCGCCCTAATTACAGCTCCCACCCCGCCCGCGCACCAGAGGCGTTCCCAAGCCTGTGACTTCTCCGACTCACCCCTCGATTCTCTCCTTCATGATCCCTCCCACCTTAGCCCTCCCTCCCTCCCCCGTGCATTCAATTATCTCCCATGGGTCTGGCTCTTTTCTTTGCTCGCGCCCCGCCTGCTCAGGAGGGCTTGCAACTGTCGCAGCATCATCCAGCAGATGGCGATCACCAAGCAGAGCCCCAGTCGCTGGAGCAGATGCTCGGAGAGGAGCTCTCTAGCCAGCGCAAGGAGTTGAACGCTGTGACTGTGGGAGCGCATCGCTTAGCGGCGCCCCGAGAACCCTCAACCGCCTTTGGCCCCCCCCCATCCGACTCCTCATAGTCCGCTCATTGTTCCTCCTCATGCTCGTCTTCGAATTCCCTGACTCCCTTCCGAGCCCCTTCATCCTACAACCGTGCCCTCGATCGCACCGTTCGGGATTTGGTAGTGGTAGAGTAGTATGGGGTTACAGCATGGGCCAGTTTTCTGTAAGTGTCGGTGGCGTTTTCTCAGGCTGTGGATCAATAGTTTCGTGATTGTCTCAAGCCTTTTCGGGCGGCCAGGGCCCGTCAAACCCGCGCCGATCGGTGCGCGAAAGCCCGAGGCTGAGCCGAGTGAGCCAGGCTTCGAGAAGCAGCTGATGGAGTTCTTCGTGCAGTGCGGCAACAAGGACGGCGGCGACGTGCTCGACGGCTTGGACGAAGCCACGCTGACTAAGCTGAAGGAGCTCGACGACCCCTACATGGACGAGGCCGCGAAGACCAACTTCCACAACGTGCCCATGCAGAGTGCATTGGGGAGGAGGTTCTACTTGTACCTCTGCGCGCACAAGCAAGAGAAGGAGGCCTACGACGCGAAGGCGCTCGATGACAAGCGCAAGCATCGCCAGGAGTGGTTGCAGAAGAAGTTCAAGGATATCGAGGAGCCTTTGGGATATATAAAGTGGGTCGATACCTGTGTGAGGGGAGGGGGTACTCTATGGGAACATAGCGGGGTGAATTGTACAGATTTCGAACACGTATATATCTATATGTGTATATATAGATACAGAGGGACGGGGGATCGATTGGATGCGGGCACATATGTATAAACATATGTGTACATATGTATATATGTGTGTGCGTGCATGTGAAACCACACATGCACGGGCAGATCAATATACCATACTCCTATGTATGCTTGTACACACATGTATTGAAGGGCCTATGTGCGTATGAGTATAAAGGAGGAGCATGAGGACGAGTAACGAGGAT